CATTTTTCAGGAGGATACAGGAGATAATAACCTGTATATTTTTAACTGCATCAAGAATATTATTAAAATGATTAAAATATTCCATACAATTATTTTTAAGTTATTTTTTTGTGAGGAATTCAATGGTCACAAAATAATTTGACAGTTTTTAAAATTTGTATTTTTCTTAAAAATTGATATGATTTTGAAATTCATGTGTAATTTTCTAGAAAATATGTTTTTGTATTTACAAAAAAATTGCTAAATGGAAAAATCGATTTTTACAATTTTTGAAGCATTGTCTTGGAAATAGAACTTTGTATTTAGGCTGAAAATGCAAAAAATTCTATTATTATTATTCAATTTATTATTCGAAAATTCATTTGTTTATTTTTCTTACTAATTTTAGATAATTTATCATAATTTTTTTATTTATAAAAATTATGATCTGAAATTAGTTAGAAAAATAATCAAATGAATTTTCAAATAAAAAAATTTAATAATAATGGTTATAGTATAATATTATTTTTCTACAGAAACTATTTTATGGAATATTAAATTATTTTCTTGATAAAATTAAAAATATCTGTATCCTCTTAAAGTTTATTAATTTTCTAATCAGTTTCCTCTTTTTCAGGGTATAGCAATCGGAAAATAGAACATGAAGATGGAGAAGAAAAGTGGTCCCTGCACACTGCCGTGTTTTTTTTTTACTTTTTTTTGTAGTTTACTTAGACTATTTTTTTTATTTTTTTAGTAGTTTATTTAGTCTATTTTTTTATTTATTTTTTTAAATTTTAGTTTCACGGTTCCGTGTAGCCCTCGACCTGGCGCAGAAGTGCGTTCAAAAACCAGGGATCTTCGAGGGTGGCCCAAGAAAAGGCGATGTTGCAGGATCCCATTGCCACAACGTGGGATCATCCACCGTGGGATACACATAATGTGGACTGTCACAAATTGTGAAGCCACTAAGTGAGTCGATTAAATAATCGACTCAAAATTTAAAATTGCACCAGGGTGTTCAGCTGTTAAGAAAAATTCAGGGAATTTTTATTTACTTAGTTTTTATTTTTTTAGTCGGGGAAAAGTAATAGAATTTCATTATGTTGACTCCAAATTCAGGGAAAATTTCTTTAAAATTATAATTAAAAATCTTTTTGAATTTAAGTACATTTTTGAATCTATTTGTAAAGACATAAATTTTTTTCATTAACATTATCATTAGATAATAATTTATTGTTAAATAATTTTTTAATTTTTTCCACATAAATTCAAAAATTTGTAAATTAACGATATTTTTTCTTAAAAGATCAGAAATAAGGTTAGCAAAATGTAAGAGAAAAGTCAGGGAATTTTTTTCTTAATCCTTGCTGGACACCCTATCAACTTTTAATTATCCTTCCCTGTTTAAAGTACTTTTAAATAATTTTTTCCGTTTAAAATAATTTAGGGTAAATTAATTGCGAATATTGACTAATATCAATTTTTTAAATATCACTTAAGTTATAAACTTTGCTTTTCTTTTTAAAGTGACATAAAAATATCGGTGACATAAAATTTTATATTGATGAATTTGAAAATTGAATTGAATTAAATTACCTACATTAAATTGAATTAAATTATATTAAACTAAATTGAATTTCAAAATCTTAAAACAGGGAAGGATTTTAACAACATAGTGACACCATTGACAAAATATATTAATTTTGTGATATTTTTATTATTACATAAATTAATAGTTTTGTCAATGTTATTTTCATTGTTTTGTCATTGTCTTTATAATATTGGTACCTTGATCGAGTGACATTTCTATTTTTTCTTTAGTGTTGCATGAAAAAAGGGCCGGCCCTCTCAATGCGAGTACAATCAAGTTTTTGTATCATTTTCTAATTCTTATTTACATAATTTTTTTATTTATTTAAAGGACGTTTAAATTACAATTAATTAAATAATGAAAAATATTGATAATTAGATATTAAAATTGTAATTCAAGTTTTTATACAACTCAGATTGTTTAGTTTTCGATCAAGTAGACATTTGCGTCGAGAAATTGGACTCGATCGAGGTTCCAATGTACTTTGTGTCTTATTTGTATTGTCTTTCTTGTATTGTATCATTTTTTCAGCTCGTGTGTCAGATACGTCCTGGCACGTTTTGGCGATTCCACATACTAAAGTTGTGTGGTTTCGCTTATCCCTAGTTCGGGTCTTTTGCACCCGGACACTATTTGTCCGACGTTTAAGAATTTAAGCGTCAATTTAAACGTCTAGTTTAATTAAAAGTATAGGTTCGCAATTAAATAGTCGATTAGATAAAGGAAAAAATAATCGGGCAGGTAGACAGGGAAAATCGGGAATATTTTCGACTCATTATTAGAGTCACAGTTACTGGAAGTCACCAGTACCAATGGATACTTTCGGCTCATAATTTGATTGAGTCACAGTTACTGGATTTACCAGTATCATTTATTTTACCATTCATTTTACTATTTATTTCTTTGTCACTATGTTGTTTATGTTTCTTTATGATAATTTTGTGTATTGTGAATTATATTTTGTACTTGTTTGATAACTGTAAAAAGGAAATCTTATTTTAAGGGAAGAAAGGAATCTTATTTTAATTTATTTTTAAGACGTGGTGTTTTGATTTTTAGAATAGATTTTTGCTAATTTTTGCTCTTTAATGTAATCAGATTATAAGACAATTATCAAAAATAGTTTCGAATTTTTTTCAATTTCGAAAAATTCAAATGTCTACAAAATTAGTCTCGTGCTGATTTTAAACACTGTTAAATTATGATCTAAATAAAATAAATTTAACGCTCTTTGTAAAATTAAGTGAATAGACGTTTTATTTTCACTTGAGTCTAATTTTAAATCAAGACTAAATTTTATTTTCAGATTAATTTCAGCTTTACCTTAAAATAAGATTTCGTTTTTACTACGTGTACTCTTTACAGATTTCTTTACAAATGTAGTTGGCATTATTTTTTTATTTGTACGAATTTTTTTTTGTTTTTTAATATTTACACTTTGAATAATTAATTTAAATAATTTTTTTTCTTTTTATTTAATTTCTCTAGTACTACAATTTCGGTTTCATACCCTTCCATACTACCGCAATTTATTAATTTTTTTATTGTCTACATCCAACTGTTAAATCTTCAAACTCTAATGAATTTTTTTATTTTTATAAATTGTTTATTGTATAAGAAAATTTGTAAAGGGTACACAAATAAGCAACAAACTGTTGTTTGGCGATTCCACATGCTAAAGTTGTGTGGTCTCGCTTATTCCTAGTTCGGATCATTGGACCTGGACTCTATTTGCCCGACGTTGGCGAATTTAAGCGTCAATTGGAACATTAGTTAAATTAAAAATAGATTTGCAATTAAATAGTCGATTTGATGAAAGTAAAAATAATCGGGCAGGTAGGATAGCTTTTTTTACAGGCCGATCGTGATTTAGAAATATTTTTGCATTAACTAGACGCTAATAATCGAAATATAATATTCGGGAAGGTAGAAATCGGGTAGGCAGGAGTATTTATAGACAGAGAAAATCGGGAATATTTGCGGCTCATAATAATTTGAGTCACAAAGTACTGCAGTTAACAGTACAAAATGGATTCTTCGGCTCATAATTTGAGTCACAATCTGGTAAAAATTACCAGTACCAGTGAATTTTTTCGGCTCATTATTTGAGTCACAGTTACTGGAAGTTACCAGTACGAATGGATCCTTTAGGCTCATAATTTGAGCCACAATTACTGGATTCAAAAATACAATTAAAATTTTTAATTTACTTTACATTTAAACTACCGTTTACTTATTAGATAATTTTTTCTTTGCGATTAATAATTTAGAAGTAGTTTTGCATTATATAGTCGCTTATAGATGAACAAAAAAAATCAGGCAGGTACAGAAATCGGGTAGGCAGGATTAACTATAGGTAGGGCAAACTTAAACAATATTTTTTTTATCTTTTGACTTACATTAACTATTATTTATTTAATATTAATATCTATTATTAATATTTATTGGTAATATTTATTATTAATATTTGTTGCCAATATTTATTGGTAATAATATTTATTAATATTAATAATTTACTTATTAAATTCAAATTAAATTAAAAATTTCCATTTCAATTGAAAATAAATTATATTATATATTATATTAAATAATATATAAATTACATTATATTCAATAAAATTGGAAATTTTATTTACACATTTAAATTGACACCTTAAACGTTTACGTTTACCCCTTGAAAGCCCCCGACCCTCGTAAAACCTAAACAATCTGAATTTTTTTTCCATTTCTGTCAATTTTTATATTTTTTTAAAGAATAAAAATAGTCATAAATATTAAGAAATTTTAGATTGTTTAAGTTTTAGTTTGCACATAGCAATAATTTACTTTATATTTTCTCTAAATTTGAATTAGTAAAAATGTTTATTAATTTGAATTAGAGACTGACTTATTTTTGAATTAACAAATTTTACTAATTGATTAGTAGAAATTACGATTAATTACTAAAATTTACTAATTTAAAAGCAAAAGGTCAGTTTTTAATTAAAAATAGTAAACATTTTTATTAATTTAAATTTAGAGAATTGTTTTTTCTCGTGTAAATCAGAGAGTATTAGGGAGAGTGGAAGGTCCCATAAGAGAGCAATGTAAATAATCGTACACGATTTTCAGCGCCCTCAACAGGTTCGTTCCGACACGAATTTCCCCCACCAAGAGCATTAGCGGGAAAATTCAAATTTCCGGATTATATTTAATTACATATTTTTATTAAATTAAATAAATTTTTGTTCAAACATTTTTTTATAAATAATAAGTGTGATGCAAAATTAATTTAAAAAATATTTTTATTTGTCGTAATTAAAAAAATACATGTGAATATAAAAAAACGTTTGAAATATAACGAAAAAATACTATTTTAATGTTGTTTTCATATAAATATAATTTATACGTATAAATATTTATTTTTGAAAACGTGAACACATACGCATTAAATATATAAATTTCATTTAATATATAAACGAGATCTCATACAAACTGCTGTTTGTTATCAAGGCTTATAATTAAAACATTTTTTACATAAATCTTTTCGTAGTTTTAACATGTTTTAAAATATAGTAATATTATAAAATTTCGTTATTTTAACCGATTACAGCACGTTTTTTATGACAGAGTATGATTTAATAAATTTTTCCTATAAATCGTGACATCTTTTTAAAATCTTTATCTATTAAATTACCTTCAGGACACGACTTTCTTTTTTTTATTAAACTTAAAGCGCGTCTTATAAACCGAGCTTCCCAATGGCATCTTACCCGAAGAAATATTTTTAAAAAAGTTTCAGAAGTTTCAGTTGTGCAAAGGTTTATAGAAGAACAACTGTGTTTTAGAATACATGACAGAATTAGAGAAATGTTTTTCAAATGATAATTAGCTTTAATTATACTCTTAAATTTTTCCTCCCACTCGAGAAAACATTGAAAAATGCTTTCCTTGACAAAAATTAAGCCTTGTGTATCACTGTACGACTTTAAATGTGTAAAAACTTGATAATCTTTATAAATATCATTATCTGATTGTTTTATAATGTTTATGCATAAATCACAAGAGTGTTGAGAAAAAAACAGTTTAGCAACATATCCCGAACAGTAATACGCTGCACTGGACTGTGTAAATTCCTGTGATTCAGTGAATATTTTTTCATAGTTTGAAATATTAACTTCTACTTGAGGAATTTTTGATGGCACTTGCATTTCAATGTTTTTAATGTTTCGCAACTGAAGAATCATTTTACTATCATCGTCTTCGCAATTAGATAGTTTTGACAATTTACCCAAATAAGTAATTAATTGTTGACGAAAAGCATTTTCAAATTGCTTTGGTGAAGGATCTGTTGAACAACCGTGTGCTTGTCTTATAGTTGAAAAGAAATTTTCTAATGGATCTTGATTCATCCTACGGGTTAAAAGAGAAGAAATATTGTATGATTTACGCAAATCATCCGACAATTGAAGAACAGAATGAATCGTAAGCACCAAACCTTTTAAACAAGCTGGTTGACGCCCTTCAAATCGAGCAGTTTGCAATTTTTGGGACATTTCTTTTAAAAAAAGAATGTGCTCTGAATTTTCAGTAATGGCATATCTTAATTTTTTAGAAGCTGGTTGGCTTATTAAAGAAGAGTTTAAAGAATCGAATAATCGATCGATGTCTAAAACGAAAGGTAAAGTGGCATCAAATGTTTCGTTAAAGCGGTCGGGCAAGAAATTTCTATAAACTTTATAAGCAGTGTGCATAGATTCTGAGAATATTTGTGAAGCTAAGGAAACTCTCATTTTACTAAAATTACCTAAATCAAAATGTTTCTCTGTAATTCTCGGAAGTAAATTTAAATCTGTTTCTTTGCTTAATTTAAAAACTGCTTCCAATTCTTTCCACGATATTTTACCACCATTGTAATTCAAAATTTTTGTTAATAAATTATTTCTAAGAGATTTCAATAGATGTGGAGGATCAAAAATTATAAATATTTTATGTTGATTGCGTACAAAATAAGGTTTCTTAGAAGTGATGTCCCATTTTGTTACAATACCCTGATTTCTTGGCCCTTGATCGCAAATAATAGCTTTTACAATTAAACCTGTTTCTTTGAAAACTTCGTCTATTGTTAACAACATAATATCATGCGTTTTTTCTGAATTACCTTCACTGCCAAGAAACCAATAACCTATTGGTTGCTTAGCTTTCATATGAATCCAGGAAATCATTGCAACTAAAGCAGATTTAGCTGCTTTCGGTTGTCGATGCACCCCATCGTCAGCAACGCCGACGAATTTGTCAGTATTGGGATCGTAGTGTATTTCCGAAACTAAATTAATTTCGTCGAACAATAAAGTGACTACCTTATTTTCAATGGGCTGATTTTTAAATTGATTTTTTAATTCTGACATAATGGTTTTATTGAAGCCAGGGGAAACAGGAACTCTACGTTGGTACTCTCGCAGAGTTCGTTCAGATGGTAAACTACAAATGTTTCTCAACAATTTATAATTTCTAGGTGATAAATATAGCATAGACAAACAGAGATCTTTTAATTCATCACTGTATCGTCTGCCAGATTTTTTGCATTGAGACAGTCGTAATTGGGTTTCAAATAAAATTTGAGCCTCCTTTCGAAGATACGAAGAAGTTTCTTTTATGAGTTTTTCAAGATGTACTTTCGTTTTTTGCTTATCATTTATTCGACTATTTTTTGTTTGTTTTAATCTATTAATTCTACTTCGCAATAAAGCTATCGTTCGCTTATAACTGTTTAATTTTAAAGTCTTTGGTGAAATATTCGTAACTTTATCAACTGAGGCTTTTAATGTTGATTCATTATTATTTTCGGAATAATTTAGAGTTAAATTTGATATACCTTTATTTGAAGTCTCTCCAGCGTTCATAACTTCACATGACCCACTTTGTGTATTAAAAACATCTCTAACTGAATTTTGTCTTGAAGGAGTAAAAAAACCATTAGAAATTGAACTTTGTCCAGAAGGTGTATTAACAACTTTCGCGACGTTATTTTCTCTGGAAGGTGTGGTGACGGATTCATTCACGTTGCAACGACCTGACGGTGTAGTAACTGTTGTGACATTAGGATGTGTTGTGGTTGAAGTTACTGGAGACAATGAACTTGTATCTTCCATTAAATTATGTGTCATTTCACTTTGTCTGGAATGTGATTGAGGACTGCTTGTGTAAAAAAGAGGTAATAAATTTTTGCTAGTACTGCATTTCTTTAATGACAAACATGTTTCCGCGCATTTATCTTTTGATGAAATTGGTGATCCGAAGTAGATTGAAGGATGGGTAGAAGGAGAAATTAACCCTACGGCGTTGGTCTCTATAATAAAAAAGAAACAATTTTTAAAACTTGATATTTATTTCATATACAATTTATTTTACAATATTTTTAACGTGATCTATCGAAAAATTTATGTACAATTAAATTTTTCATATTATAATGAATTAAAAAATTGATTTTTTATAATAATGAAAAATTATAATTTAATTACAATAAGCATTTAACATATTTGTAGTTCATGTTGAGTTTATGTTCAATTTTAATTATTATTAAAATATTATGCAAAAATACATGCACATTCAGTAAGTAATTTCAAATAAACAAAACTTTGAGTAATTTGTGGATTAAAAATTATTTATTAATATAAATTAACGAGATGATTTACACGAGTTTTAATTTATCTTTATAAATAAATTTTAATCCAGAAATTCCTGAAAAACTTTTGTTTATTTTAAATATTATTGTCATTCATATTTTATTTACTTTATATAATTATATTATGTACTCAATAAAACCAAAAATGACACACATGTACAATATAAAGATATTAACTAATTTCTATCGTTCAAATTGTATTTTTAGAGTACAATCTCCTAAATTATATAGAGTAAACGTTTTAAAAGTCTTACCAGTTATTGTTATATTTCGAACTTTACTACAAGCAAGTTCAACTTGTGACACCATATTTTCTCCATTCATCGTTGAGGCTGGCGTTTTCGAAATATTTAACTGCTCACTGGTGCAGTCACTTTTATTTTCCTCAGTTTGAGTGCCAATAGTTGTAGCAATATTGACAATTTCTTTCTCGCTGCTTACCTTGCTACCTGTAATATCAATTGTTTAAATTTATATTAATGTGATTTTAAAATTATAAATTATGTGCATATCATTATTTATTATTACGTAAAAAATACTTACTTCGCCCTGCGGTGCACTTCTTTCCCTTGTGCAAAGTTGGAATTGCATCTGGCTTCAATAAGGGCCTGGGATGAAATGTTTTAAAACATTTTTTGTCGAAATGTTCCGCGCAGATTCGAAACTTTGTAGTTTCTTTAACCCCAGCGAATTTGAGCCATTTTCTTCGACTGCGAAATGTTATAATTTTTTATTTTTAATTCAAGGATAAAAAATTATATTTTCATGACAAAAATAATATAATAATAATATAAATAATATAATAATAAATATTTCCAACAACTTTTTAATATAAAAATTTAGAATTCTGTGTATACTTAAGTAATAATATGACAGTATTTCAAAAGTTTATATTTCATCGTGTAAAAAAGTGAGGTTACGTTTACTAAAAATCAAATATATACTTACGTTGAATTAGATTTTGGTAACCTAAACGATGAAAATCCTTGGCACATTTTCGTATATGTCCCATTTTTGCAATTTTCTACACTACAATATAACATTTTTGCATAAAATTTGTAAATCACGCTTCTCCAACTGTTTGCAAACAAGCACAACAAAGCACAAACAGTTGAGCACAAATACATACAGTACATTCAAAACATTATACATATATATTTTAAAAAGGGAACGACCCACCAGAGTGCGCTACTAGTAGCGTGTACGGTCACCTTCCACTCTCCCTAATACTCTCTGGTGTAAATATCTCGCGATATGGATTTCGTTTCGATTAAAACAAAAATTATTGATTTTATAATCGAACCGTTCTTCGTGACAAAAATTTCGTTCGGGTTTTCTTTTTAAAGTGAATTGTTTAAAAAAAATTTCAGTAAATGTTAATAGTGCTAAAAGTTTATTAATTAGTGGAAAATTTTCGTGAAAGATAAGTTTTTTTAAATATAACTAAAAATATTTTCTTTTTATATTTTTATAATTAGTAAAATAATTTAGTTTTTGTTGAAAAGAAATTAATTTTTCTATATTTTCTTTATTAGCGCTCGATAACGATGGTCGTTTCCTGAAACAAAATTTACCTCAATGTGCGAGACGTCATTCCCACTGTAGGACTTTACGTTACTGTATCACGGTCGTATTTAAACATGTAAGAATTATTTTTTTCTAGTTTACTTATGTAAATTTTAAGGGGTTTAGAAAAAATTGCCTTTAAAAACGAAAAATAGAATTTCACAAAATTTATGAACGAAAGTAAGAAAATTGAAATAAACAAATTAAAAAATTTAAATAAACGATGTAAATAATTACAATAAACAATTTAAATAGATTAAAACAATTAAAATAATAGTTACTTAAAATTAAAATGGAAAATAAAATTCTAATAAATATATGTAAAATACATTTTATTGTAAATGTTATTTTTTTAATATTTACAGTCAAAAAGTATTGCAAAGAATCAATTTTAACATAAAAGAACTTTTAAAGGAAAATTGAAATTTGATTAATCCATAGAATTTCTAACAAATTCTTCAGTAATTGAATTCAAATAAGAAGTAAATTTCTTAATAATTTTGTTAAACAATCCAAGAAGTTGAGAACTTTGTAAATCTAATTCCTTTTCTAATTGCTCAATACTTTTATGTTGAAGTCCAAGACCAAGTAAAATAGCAGCTTGAACTGCTGAAATATGTAAACTTGAATTTTTCTGTCCTGGAGCTAAATTAATATTTCCAAGTTGTCTTAGAAAGTACATTTTTGCCAATGATGGAATTTGATCTCTAATTAAATGATAATCACTCATATTTTTACTGTAAATATCCAATTGTTCTAAATCGTGTAGATCCAAATAAATTTCCAATGCATCTTTGGTCAATGTTTTTGCTTTTACTTCAATTGAATTATTTTCCAAAAGACTGAGAGAAAATGATGATTTGTAATCACGAAAAGCGCTTGCCAACAGATTTGTGAATCGTTGTCGAAATTTCATTGAATATGATTGTAGCCAACTCTCATCTGTTTGATTATTTTCGTAATTTAATTTGTGAATCATAATGCATGTGTTCTCTCCGGTTATATCATTCGCTGTTTGCCTCAAATAGACGGGGACAAATTTTGCTTTCTTCCAAAATTTCAATAGTTGCTCGGTGACGCCAAACGAAACTCCAATATAGTCCAGGGCTTCGGCAGGTCGTTCTGATAGTTTCAAGAATAGAGGCGGAAGTGATGGTCGAGGTTGAATAATTTCCGTTAATAAATCCGTCTCTTCTTCGTCTTCATTGTCCTCTTCTCTTTTCCTTTTTGACGCTTCAATTTTTGTCGATTTCGATTTCGCTGGTGTTTTCACTTCCTCTGGATCCTCCATATCTGAAAATAGTTTTTTTCAATTAAATTAAATTTAGTAATTTTATTAAATTTTATTTGAATTTTTTGAGAAGAATTATTTTACCGATTCTTTATTTAATAGAATTATTATTTGGTTAAGTAAAAATTCTGTTAAATAAAAATTTGATAAAATAATTATTAAGAATTTTTGTTTCCTAACTTTTTAAATAATTTTTCTTTTTAATTTTTTATATTAATGTACTGAAAATCATTGAATTCTTGCAAAGTATTTATAAAAAAATTTAAAAATAATTGAATTCACTTCAAGAATTTTATTTTATCAACATTTTTTTCAATAATTGAATTGTTTTCAAGAATTTATTTCAATATTCTTGAAAATAGTGGAGTTTTTTTAAATAATTTTTACTGAAAATTTTGAAAGCAATTGAATTTTATCAAGAATTCAATTATTTTCAATAATTGTAATTAAATTCGTCTCTAGAATTCAATTATTCAAGTAAATAATAATAAAAATCTTCGTAAAAAAATTCAATTATTTTTGTATAAATAATAAAATTCTTATCAGGATTTCACTTATTTCCAATACAATTTTAATTGATTTCTTCGAAAATTTCAATTATTTTTACAAATCTTGTAAAAATTCAATTATTTAAAAAACTTTTAATAAAATTCATTTCGAAAATTCAATTTTTTTTATAAATAATAAAATTTTCTCTGGAATTCAATTTTAATTGAATTTCAGGGAAAATTATATTATTTTTAAACATTTTTTTAAAATTCTTCAACAGAATTCAATTATATCAATAAATAGTAAATTTTTCCCAGGTATTCAATTATATTAAATACAATTTTCATAAAATGCTTTTCAAAAATTCACTTATTTTTTAAAATTTTGCAAAAATTCGATTATTTGAAGAAATAATAAATTTTTTCGCAAGGATTCAGTTTATATAAAAAAGTTTTAATAAAATTCTATTCAAGAATTCAATTTTTTTTAGAAATAATTAAATTTTCAATGTACTAATAATCATAGAATTCTTGAATTTTTATCAAAATTTTTTTAATAATTGAATTCTTTTGAGAAAAAGTAATTAAAATTGTATTGAAAATAATTTAATTCTTGGAATAAGATTTTTATTAAAATTCTTTGAAATAATTTAATTGTTTTGAAAAATTTCTTTCAATATTCTTGAAAATAATAAAGTTTTTGTTAATAATTTTTACTGAAAATTTTGAAAATAATTGAATTTTATCAAGAATTTCTTCAATTTTTTTCTTAATCGTGTTTATTATTAATTGTAATTAACAATTTTCCTATTAAATTATATTAAAATTATTCATAGAAAATTAAAATTCTTTTAAACAATTTGATTAGAGTCTTTGTGAATAATTACATTTTTTTAAGAATTTCATTAAATTTCGTAAAAATAATGTAATTTTTTAAAATAATTTTAATTGAATATTTTAAAAATAATTTAATTCCTCCGAAACATTTTATTATTTATGAAAATACCTAATTGAATTCCTTTGTAAAATTTTCTTATTTATGAAAATATTTTCATTCTTGCCAAGAATTTTCTTATTTATGAAAATAATTAAATTCTTGCGGAGGATTTTACAATTCATAAAAATAATTGAATTGTTTCGAAGAATTTTATCTGAATTTTTGAAAATAATTGAATTTTTGTAAAGAATTTTATTAAAAGTTTTGAAAATAATGATGTTTTTAAAAGAATTTCATTAAAATTGTTGAAAATAATTGTATTTAATGAATATTTTTAAAAATAATTGAATTCTTTCGAGAAATTTTATTAAAATTGTATTGAAAATAATTGAATTGCTCTAAAGAATTTTATTATTTATGAGAATAATGAAATTCTTGCGACAAATTTTATTAAAATTTTTGAATAATAATAATCAAGAATATTTAATATTACTTATGTACTTAATAAGTGAATTCTTTAAATTTCAAATCTGTAATCATTTAAAAATTAATGTTTATTCTTGAAAATATAAAAATTTTTAATTTTGAAAATAATAATAAATGGTATTGTAATATTTACCAATATCTTCATTAGCTTGTGAATAATATTCCTTGAGAAGATCCAAAGCCTTGGCTCCATATCCCATTCCCTGATATTCAGGATGTGTGGCAATCCGTACAATTCTCGCTCCACTTAACATTGGAAAATTTTGATCATTGAATTGCTGTGAAATTGTCCATGGTATTAAATCGCCAGCTGCCTTTTGTCCTCGTCCCAATTTAATTTCAATGGAATTTTTGCTCAATTTACCCTCCATACAAATTTGGATGAAAACTAAAACTTCTGGTAATTTATTTTCAACTAGTGGTCCAACTAGACAAAATAAATGATGAGCTGGTGCATCGGACATCATTTGCAAATCGTTTGGTGTATTTTTATAATGCGATGCAACGTAGAGTGAGACTAATTTTTGTAGAAATTTCTCCGATGCTTTGTGAAATGAAAATAGTGTGTCACGATTTATGTAGAGTAATTGACATGTGTCGGGTGGTGGACATCCGAGTAATGGTGGTAGAAAACTTCCAGCGTCAAGGCAAAGTAATTTTGAGAGCCACGCCTCGACATCGTCACCAGGTTTATAACGAATTGATTCGTCGAGTGTTAATTCCTCCAAAGTACGTTCATTTATTACTTTGTCCGCTTTACTCTTCTCCTGGGAATTGGAATCTTTTGATTGAACTCGCAATTGTTGGAGGAGTTTTAAAGATAATGATCTTCCTGTACCCTCGTAGCCATTTATCGTTGAGGCGAGAAAAATTAAATACGGTCCAAACATTGCTTTGACGAATGGTAGAGGAATCGCTGCTGCTTCATCGATGACTAATAATTCAGCTTGTTGGAGTTTGTGTGCATCTGCAGGATGAATGAATTGTATTGTTTGTCTATGATTACGAAAAACATTTACCCGAATTGTTGCTTTGTTGAATTCTGGATTTGTCGACTGCATGAGAGTGTAGTCCAAATGCTCCTTGTACTCCAGTGCTTCGAGACCCTTGAAAACAAATTCAAAAAGTGTATTTAAATTTTCGGGACTTGGACTTGAGACGTAAATATTTGAGTAACCGAAGGCAATTGCACCGGCAATTGCAAGTCCCATTGTTGCTGATTTTCCTCGACCTCTCGCTGCCGTCAATGAGACTGTTGATCGTAAAGTTTTCTCTGATATTGCCTCAATAAACTTGAGCAAAGCCTTTCCTTGATCCAAAGTTTTACAACACTCTAATAAAGTCGAGACCGGTTGTGTGTCACGGAGATTCTCCTTTAATGTCTGCAATTCGGATGTATTGTCACTTGTTGACATTTTCACTGCTGGTTGAATTTTGAGATTATGCATTGAGATTGGAAGCACGTGGAATTGATCGTCAATAACTAAACAACGAGCACACGATGCTAGGGAGAGGAGAAATCTTTCATTAAATCGACAAGTGACATCCTGATGAACTTCAGTGCGAAAACGTTTATGAACATCCATATTCATCTCGTATAATTGCTTCAGAGAATTAACACTTTGAAGGAGAATTGTAATGATACCACCACCTTCAACAGTTTCCATTGTTCTTGCCAATAAATTTGGTGTTAAAGCCTCAAAATCTTGAAGAACACACATACCGAAGGTATTTCCTAAAATTTTATGTGTCTCCTTGTAATAACAATAGCGTATTTTTGTTGATACTATAAACAATTCAAAAGGATCGTCCTCATTGACATCAAGTTTGCCTGACTTGACTTTTTTCTGTAGTGATTTCATTTTTTTCTTACGATGCGATGTAAATCCAAGTTCTTTTTTATAACACCATAATACTGTGGGACGAGCTTTTACAACTGTTTTTGATAACATATGATGAAGATAAACAACTTGATCCTTTGCTTTTTCCCCGACCACGAGGAACATTGTCCGATGACCCGTTTCCACTCCATTTTCAATAAGTGTACGAATACGATTATCAATTTTCTTTCGTGGCATCTTTCATAAAACAAAAATGAACACTTATTTATATTTTTCTTTTTATTAAAACAATCATAAAACAATCGGGAGACAACAATCACTTACAATGCTTACAATAACACGTGGTGTTCATAAACTGTGTTTTCTAACCTCAATTTCTGTTTTTATTCACTGCGCACGCGTTTAGCAAAGTAGCCAACTCAAGTAGCGGGAATTTTCAAAATTTGTATTTTTTAATAATGTTATTAGATATTATCGATGTTATTAATAATTAAATTATTAGACTTGAGAAAATTTATTAGAAAAGAATTTTTAGAATTTATATTATGTTTTGTTGGATTTAAATTTTTTATCTTATAAAGTAACGAAAGGAATCTTTTTTATCAAATTTTGAATGCATGTGGCGCATGTCATAAAGGCGAAAGCACAATAACAATAGGTTCGTAAAAGTTTGTAAGAGTACCATATTTCGCAGTAAAGTAAACGTGATAAACGTCATTACTCCAAATTAATCTTGTTTGTTAAATAGTTTTTTATTTATCCTTTCTGACTAAAAGTGAACAAAAATATTCAAGTTTTATCAATAATTTATCGTCGGTAAGAAAAAGGTATGTCAACGACTTTTCTACAAATAATATTCTTTGTTGAAATGACTGCGTCAAAAAAAAACAGAAAAATCGTTAAACGTCTAAATAAATTTATTTTTTATAAAATTTTATTTTTTGAAGAATTTTAATTATGATATTTACTGATTAATTTACATGGTAATTAAAAATAATAGTATTTCATTTGAAACAATCATTGAAAGCAGTAAATTATAAAAAGAGACTAATTGAGGTTAAAACATTCTCCACGTCGTCCACGTTTTATTATAATACGTTTGCGTCAAGAGTAATCAATATTTCGAAGACCTTGATCTCCCTTTTATGTCCTCAAATATATTATAATGGAACTGATATTTTTCGAGTATAATTTATTCGCACATCATTCTCAACGTTTCATTGATCCCAACAAACTTGAATTCTTTTTTTTTTGTTTCTTTTTATTAGAATTTTTTTTAATATAAAAATGATTTGTTTGAGTAAAATACGAATTTTAATGTAAATAAAAATTTTAATATTTGAGATAAATTTAATAAATATAAATATAAATTTATAAATATAAAATACGTAAATAAACGAAACTTGTTTTCAAGACGACATAAACAATAATAAACATAAACAACAATTTAGTAAATAAACAAAAAACAACTGATTTACTATAAATAAACAGACGAAAATTTATTTTTAAATAAATACAAAATTTTAAATAAATAAAACTTTAAATAAAGGATAAAAAGGAAAAATAAAAGTTTGTGAAAAATTTAAGAAAATAAACAATGGCACAAGAGTTATAAAAATTAAGTTTTGTTTTTAAAATTATGATTGTTTTATAATTTTCAATTATTGTTATTTGGCTTCTAAATGAGAAATTCATTAATTAATATTAAAAGATTTATTTATTTTATTAATTAATAGTATTTTAATTCTGTCATTCTTGGTGATTTAAATTTTAAAGGATAAATAGTTTTATAATAATGATGTGTAGTTGCTTTAATTTTTAGTTTTATCCGATGGCCTGTTGTATTTGTCTTTTAGAAGAATTTTAACCGTACATCTTTTTGAGGATGATGAGATTTAGAATGTTCTCGATAGGTATGAAAGTATTTGTTTGTGATTTTATTTTCAAGACCAAGAAAGGACAAGATTAATAATAAAGCAGAAGAGTTGTACAATACAATAATAAGAGTAATAAATTATAATTTTGTTAATATTAATTTCAATCAAGTGCTATTATAGTTTACTTAAATTAATTTCAGGAAATAATTGTGAAACAAAAGAAAATAGTTAAATACAATTAAATTATTAAATAATAAACAATATGAATATTTGATGAAATTAAATTAAATAGTCATATTAATCATAATAACGTGAAATTTTCACAAAAATTTAAAAAATTCTTTAAAATTAGAAAAAGTCGTGTTTATATTATTTATTTAAAAAAACTATTTTAAAATCGATTTAATTGTCGAATTAATTACCGAAAATATGGGTATTGCACAACTCTAAAAATAATCGTAAAAAAAACAATATGTGAAATTATTTTTCGTTTTTGAAGGGGATAATATTTTACTATATTAATAATTTATTCTTACAACTTAATTATTATTTTTTTCTAAATTTCTTTTATTAGTTAATTTGTTTTATTATTAATATTTTATTATTACAACTGAATTATCATTTTTTTCTATATTTATTTTATTAGTTCATTTATTTTATTATTAATAATTTATTATTACAAATGAATTATTATTTTTTTTTTCTAAATTTATTGTTGATTTATTTTCACAATTATTATAGTTGAAAAAAATTTGTTTGACAATTAAAAATTTTGTTTTCAGGTACTTTGAATATGGTTCAAAAGAAATATCGTCCGCTGGTTTTGTGCGGTCCTTCTGGGAGCGGAAAAAGTACATTGATAAAAAGAATATTTAATGAATTTTCTGATTTATTTGGATTTTCGATAAGTCACACAACGAGAAAACCTCGAGCGAATGAGCAAGATGGAAGGGAATATTACTTTATCAGTAGAGAAGAAATGCAAAGTCAAATTGATGATGGAAATTTTCTTGAAATTGCATATTATGGAGGAAATATTTATGGAAGCAGGTAATTGTGTATTTATATGTTTTTAAAAATGTAGATATTATTTTTGGAAATTAATTAATTTTTTTTGATAATTGAACTTTTATTTCTTATTTCTCTTTTCTTTTATTTCTTTTTTGTCTTATTTTTCATTTCTCTTTTCTTTTATTTAGTAGTAATGTTTATTTTTTTGATTTTCAGTAAAAAAGCTGTTCAGGATGTGCAACTTGAGGGAAAAGTTTGCGTGCTAGATATTGACACGCAAGGTGTTAAGCAAATAAAAAAGTCTTCCTTGGATCCGATATTTGTCTTTATTAAGCCACCATCGATCGCAGAACTAGAACGTCGATTACGAGATCGAAATACAGAAACTGAAGAATCTCTTAGTTTGCGATTAACAGCAGCCAAAGAAGAAATTGAATATGGTGAGAAAATTTACTGTGTTTTACATTATTTTTGTGTTGAAAAAATTTTTAACTGCTTTAAAATGTATTTTTTTTCCTCGCTTTATTGCCAGTTCGTTGTTTTGTTTTGTTATTTATACAATTTTCGATTTGATTGTATTTCTATTTTATATTTCTATTTCTTTTATTAATTTCTGCTGTATTTATTTATGTGAAATTTTTTTGAAATCTAAATTGAAATTAGCTTTAGTAAAAATTTTCCTTAATGAAAAAGTTTAAAAAATATAGAAATTTATAAAAGAGAAATTCTTAATTGAAAATTATGTAAATTATTTAATAGTTAATAAAATAATTACATAGAAAATTAATAATTAAATAAATAAAAATTCTCTAACACTTCGAGAAATATTCATAGGTTTTATTTTACTTCTATTTATTTCGGTCGACTTTTTTGTAATTTTGCACTATTACGCTTCTTATCCCCGTTTATTTTACTGGTACTTTTATATCAGCACTGGGAATATTTTTTTTACATTACTACGATAGTAATAATGTGTTACGCTTAATTGTGAAATCCTTATTCATGGAATATCAAGCATGTTAAATGTTTCTGGATCATTTGCTAAATACGAAAGAAAAAGTCCCATCAATTCCCTTCAATCCTGGTTTTTATTTTGCTCTCCACTTTTTCAGTTAAGTAATTTTGTTTAATTCTTTATTGTATTTGAATTTTGCAAATCCATTAAATTATATTAATTTTTATTTCTTTTTCACAAATAGGTGAACAATCAGGAAATTTCCACTTGATTATCGTGAACAATAAAGTTGAGAAGGCGTACGAAACATTGCGAGAATTTATTCTAGCGGAAATTAAAAAGCAAAATGATGCAGGTATTTTTTGATTTAAAAAAATAAATAACATTTTTTTTTTTCATTTTATTACTAAGTGTAAAATTTTTGTATTATTTCAGAAAATGATTCAAGTACCTGAGAAAAAGAATCTTCAGAAAACAGAACTAGTTAATTAGTAGGCGAATTTCTCGTGCTTAAAAAAACAGCAGATCGAGAATTAAATTAAAATTCACCTAGTGAATAAATGCCAGAAATTTAACTAAAATTAACGCGAACTGTAAATTTGCATTTAATGTTAAATAATTGCCAAATAGTTTTTTTTTTTTATTCTTTTTTTATTTCCGTTTTATTCATTTAATGAACATAAATAGAAAAGATATTGTAAATATTTTTTAAAGAATAGTGCTTTGTAAAGTTTATATAACTTGACAGTATTTTATTTTTATACATTTTAAATGTTTTATGCAAAATAGGTATTATCAATCAATGAGTAATTTTCAACGTGTAATGTTCACAAACGTATGAAAGAGAAAGAGAGCGAAGGGGGGAAAAGAGATATATTTTATGGGTATAGCAATTTTTAAAAAAATCGTTTGTGTGAATCTCTATTGAGGTGCTTATTTTCAACTCATCTTGTGTTTTTTTTTAGAAAAGTTTTTATTATTTTTACATTTTCTCTTTTGTTTTTATAAAAACGAAGTTATTATTTAAAGAACAATGTTTTTTTTGTATTTTTTCTACATATTTATAAATGTGCGAATGCAATGTATTAGTTTTGTTTAAATTTTGCATTTTATGGAAGATGATGCAATCTGAGTATTGTAAAAGTTATTTTCATTTTGGTAACGCAGTACATTTTAGCAAATATTTAATTCAAATACATCAGCAATCGAATAAAGAAGACTCAATTTGTTTTTAGTTAAAAAAATATATTTGTGAGAAATAATTTTTTTTTTAAGATGATAAAATTTCGAGGTGATTACAATCTTTTGATTATAGTTGTATTTCTATGAATTAACATATTTAGTAATATAATTGATTAGTTATAAATTTTAAAAACTTATTGTTAGTTTTTTCTTTTTTTTAAATTAATTTTTAAAAAAGAAATTTTCTTTTTAAATATCGCGGATTTTATTCATCTCAAAAAATTTTGTTATCTTTTAGAAAAAATTGTACGTAAAATGGATATGTTTATAAAGAAAAATTGTTTTTTCTCAACGATGTAATTAATTTTAATATTGAATTTAAATATTTGATTTGAATATTTAAATTTATTCTTTATACGTAATTATATTTTAAATGTAAGCGAAGTCGTATCGAATGCAATTTGGATCTCAGCGATTAATTAGAATGTTTTTGTAGAAGATAAATTTTGTCTTTAAAGTGTTTACCATTAAATTAATGTAGTGTAGATTAAAAAGTTAAAAATTAAAAAAAAACTGAGACCATCCACCAATTGAAAAGGTTGTGTTCCAATAGTGTAGGTTACTTATAAAATACAAGAGGCATTCTTTTCAACAATCTGAAAAAATATTTTATTTTTTTTTATTTCTGTACAAGAGAAGGAGAAAAAATGTGTTTGATTATGGATTGTCGAAAAGTATTGCCTGTTTGTTATTCATGCATTCGTTACGTTAATATCATGCGACTTTCCATCGTATTTTTTTTTCTTTTTTTTTATTCAAAATCTCATTAAAAAAAAAAAATTCATACTCGCTCGCCAAATCGATTTCACCAGTGAATGTAGTTAATAATTTTGTAATCTTTTAATTTTTTATCATTCTTTTGTTCTGAAAATTTTTCAAATAACAAACATTTTAACTTTAAAAACACCAAACAATGAAGAAGATTTATTATTAAAAATTATTTTTTTTTAATACTAAAATTCATTCCTGATATTTTTCAGTAACGTGTCAATTATAAAGTTCAAAATTTCTATAAAATTAAAATAAATATTTAAATAAGTTGAAAGTAAATTTTTGTTCAATAAAAGTAAATTTTAGTTCCAGAAAGTAAATTTTCATACCAGAGAAATCTATAGAAAAATTTTCAGAACGATTCAAAAAGAAGGGAAAAATTATTAGAAATAAAGTTTATTGTATCCGGTTATGAAACCATTGCATACTATTGTTATAAAGTGGCCAAAATTATATTTAAAAAAATAGAGATTAATTTTTTTTTTCGAATTAATACTATGCTGACAAAAAAGGTCTGTAGTTTTTTTATTTTTATTGTAATTGCAATTTTTCAATTTATAACTTGTTTGCATTTTATCAATTTTTCTTTAATTAACTTTTATTATTTACAATAGGTATTTACAATTTATTTACAATAAGTATTTTGAAGAATAATTAAATTCCTTTTTTTTTAATTATATTTTTAATATTTTTAATAATATTGTAATTAATACAAATTTTTTAATTTCTGTTTTTTTAATAGTTTTGGTCACCTGTAGAAATTAATAATACTTTAATTGTAAATTGTAAAAATATTGTAATTTACTGTTGCGGCGAAAGCTAATAAAATTTAGTTATGTAAAAATATTTTTGTAATTTTCTCTCTAATTAAATTAATTAATTCAGATGGAAGTTTATAAACATCATTTTTTTTTTCAAGTGCAGATAAATGGAATTGCTGAATAGCAAAATATTATTTATTTTACTCTTCATAAAAGTTTATTGAGTTGAGTTGTTGAAATATAATTTTTTATTTGTGAATTTGATTTATTTATTATATTGAAAAATGATGTTTAATAATTATTTATTGAAAATATATTCGTGAATTAATTTTATTTCAATATATAATACAACTTATAAATATAAAAACATATTTTGTATTTTCTCTTAATTTAGTTGAGAAGACAATTAAGTTTATATGGAGAAAAAAAAATTGGAAAACCATTTATAAATTATTTAATATTCAATCAACGTTGTTCTTTGAATAAACGTTTTAAATTTATAATAATTTAAAAAATTTTAATTAATATGTTTTTATAATTAATTACAATTTTTATAATTAATTATAATAAATTAAAATATTATTACAATTATAATATATTAATTAATAATAGAAAAAAGATAGTTTGATTAATATTAATATTATTTCATATTCATAAATTAATTACTTTGATTATTAAATATATTTAAAAAAATTAAGTTTATGTGGAGAGAAGTAATTGAAAAAGCATATTAAAATTATCTAATATTTAATCAGAATTATTCTTTGAATAAATGTTTTTAATTAATATTAATTTTTGAAATATTAATTAATATGTAATTGCAGTAAATTAAAATATTATAATAGTTTTAATATATTAATTAATAATAGGTAAAAGATGGTTTGATTAATATTATTTAATGTTAATTAATACTAATTAAATTAATTAAAATAAAATAAAATTTTTATGGAAAAAAATAATTGAAAACCCATTTTTAAATTATCTGATATTAACCTTTTTAATATTAATTAATATATAATTATAATAGATTAAAATTAAAATATAATAATTATAATATATTAATTAATGGTAGATAAAAGATGGTTTGATTAATATTATTTATTAATTATTAAATTATTGATTTACATAAAAATATTAATAATATTAATGAATATTCCGTGTTTATTATATAATTTTTTGAAAATTTTATATCGTTATTTTCTAATAATATAAATGAGTGTATTAAAAATAAATGTGGAAAATTTGATGAAACGTTTCGTATCGGGAAAAAAAAGTGACCCGCAGCTTTTGAGCTTTATTGTGAAAGTATTGTGTGTATTGGAAAAATTTTTCTCTCTCTCTCTCTCTCTCCCACTCGGGATTTTTTTTCTCTTCCTTTTTTTGCAGATAAATTATTGTCGAGAGTAATTGCGCCTCAATCTCTCTCCATGATGGTGTCGAATTTTGTGCCGAGGTTCTTCACTCACTTCGATTGATGCAATTTCAGGTTCTTTAATAACACCATCTATTCGAGCATCGTCATTGATGAAATTACTTTTCTTTGTTCCATACCCATTTTCTCTTGGCGTTGAAAATAGATATTTAATTATCTGTGGTCGTGGCTCAAAAATATTTTCCTGCAGAGATTCGGAAAAATCTTGTGAACTCTTTGAATCATCGAATTTTTTTCTATTTACTAAATTTTCATTTTCATAATATTGATTAATATTTTGTTTATTACTATTGTCGAATTTGGGATTTTCATTTTCATTAATGTCGTGTTGGAAATTTGCAATTTTTGAATTATAATTCATTGGATATTGATTTGAAATTGAATTTCCATGAAAATTTTTATTTAGTGGGAACTTATTTTGTGATGGAAAATTTAAATTCTCATTTCTTTGATATAATGGATATTGTACTGTTCTTTGATATTGTAATGTTGGGGGAAATTTGTCGCGATTATTTTTTAATTTTTCCACACTCATTATATTATCATTATTATTATTATTATTGATTTGTATTTGTTTTAGTCGTTTTTCATGAATTTTTCTCATTGAATCTTGATTGATTCGTTCGTTCGTTCGTTCTTTATACCAATTATTAATATCATTTTGCACATCAAGCATTGGAATTCGTTTTAATTTATTGCCAATGATAATAACTTCATTATTTCCATCAATTGAAATCATGACATTTGGTGTATTTGAAATTTGTGATATTTTCTCCAATGAATTTTCATCTTTTTCTTCAATACTACGTCTTTTGTGCAAATTCTGCTTTTCTGGATAATAATAGGCTTCGTAGAAAACTGGACCTTTATGGAGATCGTATCTGTGAAAGAGATTTATGAAAATAATTTTTATTTGAGGTCAAATGTAGGTGGGGAAGTAAAATTGATTTTTATTGTAACTGTAAAAAGACGTGTTTTGAATTTTTAGAGGGAAAAATTATTTTTTAGCTTTTTTTTAATCGAAGGTTATTTACTTTTTTTTACATGGAATAGAAATGTGGAAAAAAATTGATATTAAAATTAAAAAGATGATATGAATTTTGTATTTAATTAAATAAAGAATAATTTCTATTTAAAAATTGGAATTATGAGATAAAAATTAAAAATTGAAAATTTAGTACGAACCCAGGTTGATTGAAGCCTTGTGCAGATATCAATTGAACTGAAAAGGGATATCAATTTTATGTAATTTATAATTTTTCTTTTTTCTTCTATCGTATAATTCTCTCTTTTATGATAAAATATTATTCATAAAAGTCTGAAAAGTAGCGTGTTGGGGAAAATTTTAGTATCTTTTAAATATACAATATATTGACGTTTATTGAGTTTTTAAAGGAACTTTTGTGCAGTAAAAAAATATTATATGTGTTTTTTAGAAAAAAGGAAAGAAAACTTACCGGTAAAAATGGTGGATAAAATTGATAAAAAGAGTATATTGTTTTTCTTCAGTTCCATTGTCTTCGTCACGTTAAGAATGAAAGTGTACGACTGATTTTCATCTTACTACTTTAGCCCGTGGATATTTTCAGAGAATCCCAAAATAAATTCCATTTCCGTTGTCACTTGTATACAAAATTTCGCATAGATTTATCATTTCAAATGAAAATTATGTTTGACAAGCGGTTTTTTAACAATTAAGTGTACTTAATAATTTGTTAACTTTAAGTTTTTAAAGAAAAAAATTTTAATTCAAATTAATTAAAATTTTAATTAATTTTTTTTAATTTTTTTTTAATTTTAATTTTTTTTTATTTCTTTTAAAAAAAAAAATACAATTTTTATTTTAAATATTTACATACCATCTATTCTGACAATTTTAATTAAATTAATTAAATGTTATATACATTTTCTTGTCCTAAAGAAAATGCCAAAAATTAAACAATATCAAATTTATTATTATCAGACAAAACATCAATAAAAATTTTTTTTTTTTAATTATGATTAACAAATACATTTTGTTTATTATATGCTTTTTTCTATAACAGATTTAATTTGACTGATATAAAGTATAAAAATTTTTCTCCTTTTTATTTATAGAAAATATTAGAAAATTGTTAATAATTGTTAAAAAATTATGATTAAGAAATAGAAAATATAATAATTTTATGCACAATTATTATTTCTGAAGAACATTATTGTTCACAAACTCATTATTTTCCTTTGAAAAAGAAACATTACATATTCCCGTTTCTTAATATTTTTTTATAAAAAATTCTCAATTTTCATAAGAAAATAATTTGCATCATTTCTTTTTATTAATTACAATTGCTTTAATAAAATTTAATTTTTTTCTGAAATAAAGGAAAAAAATCATTAAAAATTCTATTTGTCAATTACAAAAAGCAATAATTGAAAATGAAATTGCAACTTTTAAAATTTTTAGAAAATGAAAAAAATGAAGGAAAAAATTTTATTTAAAAAAATGTTCTGTTACATTTATTTACGAATTTCTCAAATTGCAAAATTATTCGAAAACATCAATAACTTCTTTTTTTTTAAATAAATATTTAATTATTATTATTTTTCCATAGGAATTAAGATGTTAAAAAATTTCAAATTCAAACCTTTTTGAAATTAAACAACTTATAAAAGTATTGTTATAAAACAAGTCTTCGACTCGGAGCAATCGATATCTTCATGTTTTATAATAATTTATAATTAACGAGTGATAAAATCATTATTTTATATTATAATAATATTGTTACTGGAAATTCTTCAAAATTATTTTCATCATTTTAATTCAAATATTATTTTCCAGAATTTTTAATTATTTTTTATGAAAATAATTGAATTTCTTAAAAAAAATTTGTTAGTTAAGAAAATAATTGAATTACTTAAAAAAAAGTTTGTTACTTATGAAAATAATTGAATTTGTAAAAAATTTTTGTAAATAATTGAATTCTTGTTAATTTTTTATTATTTATGAAAATAATTAAATTAGGACAAGAATTTTATTTATATTTTTGAAAATAATTAAATAAATAATAAATAATAAAAATAAATAATAAATAAATAAATAAATATAAATAAATAACAGCAATAATAACAGCAATGATAATATTTATGATAATGAGAACAACAATAGCAGTAGTAATAAATAATAATCACAATAATAAATATATTAATAGTTAATTTAATTTTTTTACTATACTTTGAGTTTTAATAATAATAAAATTGATGATAATGAAAAATTATGGGAATAAAAATTATGATAATTAGATAATTTTTAGATAATAATTAGATTAATTTTCGTTTGCTTTAGGAGCAGATTGATTAATTAAGTAAAAAAAATTGAAAGGGACTTTGGAATATTATACTTAGTGGAAAATTATTATTTATATATCAATGGTAACAATTTTCAGAACAGAAGCAAAACGGGCCAATTGCCAGAGAATAAGGTTTTGCAAACTTGCAAAACTTGTCGTCCATAATGAAATTTCCAATTTATTTAACACACCCGAATCGATTATGAAATTACCTTCATATACTTCAAAATTAAATGAAACTCTGACCGTAAATTATCCTAAAAGTTGAATCTGTTAGCCAAGGAATTTTACCCTTTACACTTTCTAATTTTCCCTCCTTGATATTCATCTTTTGATAAATTATTAGCTAAATTTTGTTATGAAAAAAAAACCATTATTACTATAGTAGAAAATAATTTTAATTTATTAAAGTAAAAGTTATTAATATTAAATGTTAATTAATAATAATAGTAATGATAAAAATAGTAATAATGAATAATAATAATAATAATAATAATAATAATAATAATAATGAATATTAATAATTATTTATTAATATCCAAATATTCATTTATTAAATTAGATTTATGTTCTTGTAGCCGCATAAGTAAATAATTAACTAAATTAATAATTTCCAAATTAATAATTCCAAATTAGTAATTTCGGGAAAAGTCAATAATTATTAAATTATTAAATTTTTGATTAAAAAAAATTAAAAATGCAGTATAAACTTGATAATAATAATTAACATACCCATTATTATCAAGTTTGTACTGCATTTTTTAATTTTCTATAATTATATATCCAACAAACAATATTAAATAAACTCTAAATTATATTTAGACTTATTTGCTTATTAAATTCTTGTTGAGAACATAAATTTTTTATTTTTTATTGACAGAAAAATAAAATTGAAAAAAAAAATTATACCTTGTTTATTAAATTTCTGTTGGGAACATAAAATTTTTATTTATTTATTTTACTTATAAACGGACTGTATGCTCGTTATTGAGAGAGAAATAACAAAAAATATTAAATGTAAAAAATAGAGAAATTATCTTTTTATCGAAAATTATTTACCCAACTAGATAAAAATAGTAATAAGGCAGATGTTGAATGCCATAATGTTAGCAGAATAATTTTGTGTTTAAAAAAGACCCCTGTGAAAATAACCCTTAAAATCCCCCTTAATTTTTGTCAATGATATGATGACATAATTTATCACGAATTTTATCTCCCATTAAATCAATTTGTTTTATTGTCCTTCTGAAATGTTGAATTACTGAACAAATATTTTCCTCTCTTTTGAATAAATATTTTTCGAATGAAGAGAAATCATTATCCATAAAAAAAAAAAAAAAAATAGAAGAATTAAGAAGGAAATGTTGATAGTTTTGAAAATAGTTCATTTTCTCGTATTACTGGAATTTAATGAATTATTTATTACACTGTAAAAAAAATTGATCACTCAAAATAGAGTAAATACTGTAATTTTTATTTATTGCTCCTCGTTTTTTTTTCCTTTTTTTTAATCGTCTTACTTTTCAACTGAAACCTTTGTTTTTCCACAATTAGTCGTTAAAAGACAAGGGAAATACAGCACGACAGTTTTTCTTGACTTGAAATTTCTTTAATAGAATTTCTTTTCTAGCTCATCTTCATTTACCTTCTCGTTCCTTCGTTTCTTTCTTTTTCTTTTTTGTTTTTTTTTTTGCTTCCTTTTTCTCTACGATTGTCAATTTCCGGTATTAACAAATATTATTCGTTTTCAACGTCCTCGGAATCAGACGAGTAAATAATTGTACTATACGTATTATATTGCGGAGAAATTTAATCAAATTTATAGTGAACCAAACAAGTTTTCAAGATTGTGAAAATCAGTGAGAACTATACGAAATCAAAATAATCCTTCGGGGAATGTCTCGACAACAAAGGTAATTTTTCTTTGAAATAAAAAATTTTAATTAAATGCTGTTCTTTTTTTTCTTTTTTTTTTTTTGCTTTGAACTATAAAAACTTTTTCTCGTATTATTTTCCTTCGAACAAAATAATGTTGTCTGTCGAGGAGAATTTTTGGAGTTTTATTATTTATTGTTATTATTCTTACGAGGAAAAAATTTGATTATTGGGAAAATAAGTATTTTCAGAAAATAAAATGACTTAAAATAAAAATAAAATAACTTAACATAAAAATAAAATAAATTAAGTTTCTTTAATTAAATGAATCTTAAAAAATCTTCATTAATTGAATAATTGATTTTTGTAGATTCTTTTATAGAAATATTATGTTACAAAAATTTTTGAACGTTCAAATAAAAAAAATATTTTATTGATATTTCGGAAAATTTCTGAGTGATTTAATTATATAATAAACTAAATTAAATTAAATATTTAAAAACTATTTAAATAATTAAGTTACATTATTAAAAATTATCTTCAAGAATATTTAATAATCATATTATCATATTATCAATATTTAATATCATCTTTTAGATGATATTTAGGATTATAAAATAGGAAAAAAATTGTTTGATTTTTCGGAAAAACCCACAATTTTTATTTTTTTTCAAAAAAACGGCCCAAAACTCTAAAATTGGTTCTTTCTTTTGAGTTGATCATTTCGATGACTGCGAATCGAAAGTAGGTAAATTTAATATTTTAAATTTCTGAAAATAATTAAATTAATCGAGTAATTTAATTGGAATTGTATCGAAAAAACTAATTGAATTTTTGTAAATAATTTTATCAAAATTGTTAAAAATAATTGTATTTCTTGGAATTGTTTTAAAAGTTTTATAGAATGATTGAAATTCTTCTAGAAATTTTTTTATTTATGAAAATAATTGAATTTTTGTTAAGAATTTTTTTATATTTGAAAATAATTGATTTTTTAAAAAGAATTTTATCAAAATTGTTGAAAATAATTGTATTTCTTGGAATAATTTTAATTATATATAATAGTTTTTTTATTACACAAAAAAATAGGAAAATTTAAAGAAATTATTATACTTTTAAGGAGAGAATAGAATTACTGTAAAAATAGATTTTATTATCAATTATCAGTATTCAATAAACGAATTTAAATTATTAATTATTTTTTAAATTTTCTTATTGATGGGAAAATTATGTTTTAAAAATTCTAAGTATTTCAAAGATCAAAATATTTTTTCAATGTTCCTAGTTTTAAAAATTATTAGTAATTATTATTAACTGTTTATTTCAGAAAAAAATTTTTAAATACGAAAATTAAATGAAATATTTTTAAAATTGTGGAATTTTTCTAATACATGTCGTTGATATTGAAATAAAATTGAATATTAAAAAGAAATTTATAAATTTTGTTTGAAATTTAAAATTTTAGATAGCATAAATATTTGAAAGTTTTTCGTGAAGAAAAAATAAATATTCTTTTGGAAGATAATTTTTAATGGTGTAATGATTTTTTTATGATGTAAAAAAGAGAAAAAATGTTCCGAACTATTGTCTTTTTTTACGACAAAAATTGGATTATTGGGAAAAATGAAAATTATAGAATAAATTAAAATAAAAATTGTCGCGTCATGAAACATTGAATTATTATTTATTTATTACCATTTATCCTTTAAATTTGTTTATTGACTGAAAATTGAATTTTTTTCTTGAATAAATATTTTTTTTGAAAAAGAATCCAAAAGTTCTTCTTTAACCCATTAATGCCCATGGGCACAGGAACGCAGATATAAAAAAAACAACAATTGGCATCCTGGCATGGGGTCTAATAATAATTTTTGACGTTAAAAATTTTGTTTAAAAAATTTTTTTTAAACAATTTGTTATAAACAAATTAAGAAAAATTAATTTTCATAAAAAACTGATAGCGCCATTTGATTTGTTTTGGTGGAAAAGAGAAGAATTTAATTTCGAACATTTAAAACGATTGAAAGTTGCATTTGAATAAAAATTACAATTTTCTGTCATTAAGAAACATTTGTTAAATTTTAATTTTGAATTTAATTTTAATTTTTTACTTAAATCATTTATTATTGACAAAAAACTATAATTTGTATTCAAATATAACTTTAAATTATTAAAAATGTAGAAAATTAAATTCCTTACGCTTCTATAAGAAATTTAAAATTTAATTTTCTTTTAAAATACGAAATTATGACATTGGACTAACTTTTGTTGCGATTGTTTGTCGGATTCTTCTTTAAGATGTTGATTTTTAAAAATTTTTATTATTCTTTTGTTTCCTTGTGAAGGAATATTTTTTTTTTAATATTTTCTTTCTTGTAATATTAATGATTCCTCCACGAGAAAGTATAAATTCTTTGCTGATGGCAAAGAGAAAGCAAAATGTTTATGGATTTACAAGTTGTTTTTTTATTATTTTCCCTGAATTTATTTTTTTTTCAATTATTCGTTTTGTTTTTCAGTAAATGAAATGAAATTTTTCGTGATTTTTTGTTTTTTTTTGTTTTAGAATTTCTGGATGCTTTTATAGTAATACGATGTTTGGTGTGATCTGCACCATTGCGTGCCTGGCATCCGCGACGAGTGCCCAACTCAAGTACAATCAATCAGGAAGAGACTCCTGGGACAATGTTGAGAATTACTTAACCCGAGGTGATTTCTCTGATATCGATCTTGAGAATCTGATGCAAGTTCTCGATTTAGTTTTAAACTCGAAGGAGTTTCAACCACTCACGATATCAGTTGCAACATTCGATATCAATTCCTATCTAACCGGACAAATCTCAAAGTTCTTTGAACGTAAATTAATCACTTGCTACCAAATTGATTTCAAAAATAATTTATCTTCGTTTAAATTTACCAATTTGCACTATACAACTTGGATTATAATTGTCGATAATCTACAAATGTTGGATTTCAATTGCAACACTTTGAATTTACTTTGGAATTCAAGAAATAAATTTGTCATCATTTCCCTTAGTAATGATAAATCTGCATTGAATTTTGAGAAATTATTTTCCAATTTTTGGAAACGGTATGGAATATCGAAAATTTTGATTAGCACAAAAAGGGAAAAATTTAAATATGTTTATCGCTATCTTCCGTTTGAGAGGAATTTGAAAAAATTTGGATTAGTTCAAAAGGTGTTTGTCGATGGGGAGAATATTGAAGTCTTTCGCAAAAATCAGATGAGGAGATTTAATTCAGTCGAAGTGAATAAGAAGAAAATTTGTGATTTAAAAGAGTTGGGAAATATTTTCGAGAATTTTGAAAATTTGAATAATTATCCAATTAAGGTGACGATATTTAAATCACAAATGGTGCAGATATCGAAAATTGGAAATAGGACAAATTTATCTGGACTTGATGTTAATGCCATGTTTCTATTAAGAAGTGTTTTAAATGCTGATTTTCGTATTAATGTTCTAAAACACGATTATAAATCCGATCCGTTTGAGACAGCATTAATAAACATTGAAAACAACAAAGCTGATATTGTAATGACAACATATTTTGTTAAACCCTACGATGATTTTAAATCCTTTGAATTTACCGTCGGTGTTCATATGGATAAAGTTTGCCTTTTTGGCAAAGCCGCTGGGAAAGTACCCAAATCTTTTATGCCATTTTTACCAATTGCTCTCGATTTCTGGCCACTATTTATCATCTACAATATTCTTATCAGTGCATTTTGGATTAAATTTAAATCATATAGTGAAAAAATTCATGAAGAATCATTGAAAAAGAATATTTTAGGAATAAATATTTTAAGGAAGAAACATTTGGAAGAGAAAAAAAATCTATCTCAATATCCACCGGAAATTGATTCACGTTTAGAATTTTGTGGTGAAGTTGCTGTTTTGAGTTGTTCGCCACTTGAGGGTGATAGTGAATTGACGGCACAACGGATTTTTCTCGCGGGAACATTAATTTTTACTTTAATAATATTTGGTTTGTATGAAAGTACATTATTGTCGGCAATGAGTAAACCGTTTGAATATCAAGAACTTGAGACATTAAATGATGTTCTTGATACTGATTATTCAATTTTGACGAAATATGAAAATTTGAGAGAAAATACGTTCTATAATGTTGAATTAAAAAATCGAGTTATTCTTTTGCAAGGTGTTGAGGAATCATTGAGAAAAATTGTTGTTAATAATAAAAGTGTTTTGGGAATAATGCGATTATCAACGGCAGAATTGGAGGATCGTTCGAAATATTATGATGAGAATGGAGAATATTTGTTGCATGTAATTGAAGAATGTCCTTGTGCTTATTGTTTATCGTATGTCGTTAAAGAATATTCGCCCTATTTAGAGAGAATTAATAAAATATTGTCGAAAATTAGTGAGGGGGGATTGTTTCTTAAATGGTATAATGATATGCGATATGCAATTTATAAAGAAGAGCAAAAAAAAATTGCAAGCAGACCTTTAGTATCAGACTTGACACTTGAACATTATTCGCTTATTTTTCTCATTCTTCTAGGAGCGTTTCTTTGTTCCACTTTTGTTTTTATTGCGGAAATACAATTCGCGAGTAGTGCACGACATATAGGAGAATGAAATAATAAAAGAGGTAGAAAAATCAAAAGGAAGCGTGAAAAGTTTCTTAAAAGTATTTTTTTTTTGTTTTACTTCTTCGTTTCAGAAAATATTTGAAAAATTGTACTTTATGCAAATAATTAATAAAAGTATTGTGAAAGTATTCAATATACAATTGTAATGAAAGGTGTTTATTAATTAATTAAGTCTGAGAAAACTGTATACAGTCAACCAAAAATTATTTTTTAATTAAACATAATGATTTTGAGTCAATAAAAATTTAATTCAATTCAATTATAAAATATGTTTAATTCAAACATATTTTTTTGGTTGGCTACTTATTTTTGAAATAAAAAAAAATTTTATCAGCGAATGTATATAATTTAATGAATTTATATTTATATTTGTAATTACTCCAAAATTGCATTTTTTTAGTGTTTTCAACAAAAATTTTAATTAAAAAATTTTTAAATTCTATTGTTTCTAAAATTGCTGATTTTATTTTAAAAAAGTAGTAAGAAGTTAGTTAGAAGTTAATTGTTGCTAGTTAAAAAATATTTTTTTGAAAAGGAATATTCAATAAAAATTAAATTTAATTCAAACATATTTTTTTGGTTGGCTTCTTATTTTTTAAATAAAGAAAAAAAGTTTCTCAGTAAATGTATTTAATTTAATGTGTTTAGTGTAATTTAATGTAATTAATTAATTAATTAATTAATTAAATGTACTTAACCTAATGTATTAAGATTGAAAAAATATTTTTAGAAAAGGAATATTTGACAAGGAAAATTTTAAAATTTTAATTTAAAAAAATTTTATAGTTGGTTTTTAATTTTTATTTATTCATTTTATATGTTAAATACAGAATTTTTTTCTTCACATATTGTTAGATAAAATTATTGAGAATACAATTTTTGTGAAAGTCATTTTTTTAAAATGTACAATTAAGTACAACTACATTTTCCGTCCTTGCAGTATTTTCCTCCTACAACTCCTGGAAGAGATTTAGTTGCTCTTTCGCAAGCTTTTTTGCACTCATCTTCAGAACATGCTGGAAAAATAATTATTTTATAATTAAATTAACCGAATTTAAATTTTATCAATTTATTTGTCGTATCATTAAAACTTTAAATAATTTTTTTGAAATAACAAAATTTTAAGAAAAAGAAACAGTGAAGTTAACAAAATTTAACATATAATATTTAAATTAGAATTAATTTTCATAATTTAATGAAAAATTTGATAATAAATAAATTAATTTTAATTTTTTGCCGCAAATTTTGAAATTGAACATAATTTAGAGGTAATTTTTGGTAAAATAATTAAAAAAAGAAAATAAATGTGTATTTTTCGATGAATTTATTTTCGTGTTTCCTATGAATAATATGAAAAGAAAAATAAAAAACAGTAAAGATCTCTTCAACTCAACTCAAGAGACTTTTATGAATTTTCTTTCATCTCTAGATGAAAAATAAGTGGGTGGAAATATTTTTAAATTAGGAATAATTTTTTTTCGAAATGAGAATTTTTTTTAATGGAAGAATTCATAATATATAAACAGCGTGGAATGAAAAAAACGTACAACAACACTTTTTTCTGATAAAATCATAAAAGTTAATTTAAAAAATATTTTTCTGTTGTAAAAATTAAAAAGTACTATAATTAAAATTTATTTTTTAAAATTCTTTTTATTATTATTAATTATTATTATAAACTGTCCTCTAGCCCTGCTTAAAATTGATTAAATAAATAATTAAAATTAACAAATTTTAAATAAATTAAATAAAAAATAATAATTAAAAGAATTATTATTGTCTATTATTATTTCAATAACATTTTTTTATAATAATAAATTATAAGAACCTCAATAATTTAGATATGAATAATGATAGAAATAAAAATAAATAAATAATAAAACAGTTTTGAATTATTATTAAATAATTTTATTTATTTATAATCTAATAAATTATAAATATTATACTTTTACTATAATTTATATATTATAAAAATAAAAAACGGGAAAAATAATAAAAATTGAAAAACTTACCTTGAGCATGAACTAATGACGTGCCAATTAGTGCAGCAAAAAGGACGAAAAGAATATAGAAAATCTTCATTTTCAAATAATTGATGATAGAATTAACTGTGTGCGAATTTGTAAGCGTTTTCTTTAGAAATGCATTAAAATATCGAGAAATCACGTTATATATATAAGAAAAAGTTTATGACAGTGGCTCTCGCTTATTGGCAGATTGTGCATTATTGGCAGTTCAGAAATATTAGATTATAGAAGTAATTTCTCCTTCCTACATAGATGATAAAATAGAAGAAAATTGTTTTTTTTTACTTTATTATTTTTCTTTTCCTTTTCATTTTATGCGGGATTACAATATTAATGGAGTGGAGAAATGTATAGAATTTGACCACGATCTAGAACCTCTGACCGTTCGGATCACTATTTTATATGGTCATAGGGGTCATTGCTGTATCAAATAAAACGCATTATTAATCAAAATTACTTTTATGGAATTGTTAATCAATGTAAATTTAAATTAGTAATTAGTCGTCCACTATTTAAAATTAGTAAATATTTTTATTAACTTTTAGTAGAATTTAAATTAATAAACTATTTTATTTATAGGCAGTAACAATTTTTCTTCTCTAATTTTAGTTAAAATGACTAAAATGGACTAAAAATAGAAGAAATTTTTACTAAATGAATTTGTGGATAATTTTTTTTTTTTTTACTATTTTAAGTTTAAAAAGAGATTGGAATATTATTTTATTTGCAACTCTCTAATTCTGAATCAGTCAAAATTTTAATTGATTTTAATCTGAAGTTGTCTTTAGTTTATACTTTTGTTTTTTGTTAACTTTAGATAGATTTATATTATATTATTATGTTATAATTATTTTTATTTTATAATTATAATTCAAAATTGTAATGAAAAATAGAAATCATCAGAATTTTTTTTACTTCTTTTCATCAAAAGACTAAAATTTTGTTAAATATTATGTTTTGTCAAATTAAAATTATACAGATTTTTATTCTTTACTTCTAAGCAAAATTAGAAAATTGTTAAACAACTGTGATTAAGAAATAGAAAATTTATTTATTTTGCATTATTTTTTTTTATGAATCACAATTTTTTTAACAAAATTATTATTTTGTTTTAGAAAAAGAAGAAAAATATTTGCGCAATTCCTATTTTTAATCTTATTTTTGGAACAGAATTTTCCACAGGAATTAAGAAATTAAAAAATTTCGAATTCAAACTTTTTTAAAATTAAACAACTTATAAAAGTATTGTTATAAAACATGAAAACATCGATTGCTCCGAGTCGAAGACTCGGAGTGATCGATTTCTTTATGTTTTCTAATAAATAATTAAAGATGACCGAGAGATAAAATCATTATTTTATATTATAAGAATATTGTTACTGTAACTTCATCAAAATTATTTCCATCATTTTAATTCAATTATTATTTTCTAGAATTTTAAACTATTTTTTATGAAAATAATAATTGGATTTCTTAAAAAAAATTTATGAAAATAATTAAACTTTGGAGAATAATTTTGTTATTTATAAAGATAATTGTAATTTTTACCAGCATTTTTTTCAAATTTTGAACATAGTTGAATTTTATAAGAATTTTTTTTTTTTTTTTAAATAATTGAATTTTTGCAATTATTTGTAATTTCTCCAAAATAGAATTTTTTTAGTGTTTTCAACAAAAATTTAAATTAGAAAATTTTTAAATTCTATTATTTTTAAAATTGCTAATTTTACTTTTAAAAAAAGGTAGTAAGAAGTTAACCGCGCGCGAATTGTTGTTAGTTACAAAATATTTTTTGAAAAGGAATATTCAATAAAAATTAAAATTTAATTCAATTATAAAATATATTCAATTCAAACATATTTTTTTGGTTGACTTCTTATTTTTGAAATAAAGAAAAATTTTTGTCAGTGAATGTATTTAATTTAATGTTTTAAGAATTAAAAAATATTTTTAGAAAATTAATATTTGACAAGGAAAATTTTAAAATTTTAATTTAAAAAAATTTTATAGTTGGTTTTTAATTTTTATTTATTTATTTTATATGTTGAATACAGAATTTTTTTCTTCACAAGTTGTTAGATGAAATTATTGAGAATACAATTTTTGTCAAAGTTATTTTTTTAAAATGTACAATTAAGTACAACTACATTTTCCGTCCTTGCAGTATTTTCCTCCTAAAACTCCTGGAAGAGGTTTACTTGCTCTTTCGCAAGCTTTTTTGCACTCACTTTCAGAACATGCTGAAAAAATTTTTATTTTATAATTAAATTAACCGAATTTAAATTTTATCAATTTATTTGTCGGTTCATTAAAACTTTAAATAATTTTTTTGAAATAACAAAATTTTAAGAAAAAGAAACAGTGAAGTAAACAAAATTTACCGTATAATATTTAAATTAGAATTAATTTTCATAATTTAATGAAAAATTTGATAATAAATAAATTAATTTTAATTTTTTGCCGCAAATTTTGAAATTAAACATAATTTAGAGGTAATTTTTGGTAAAATAATTAAAAAAAGAAAATAAATGTGTATTTTTCGATGAATTTATTTTCGTGTTTCCTATGAATAATATGAAAAGAAAAATAAAAAACAGTAAAGATCTCTTCAACTCAACTCAAGAGACTTTTATGAATTTTCTTTCATCTCTAGATGAAAAATAAGTGAGTGGAAATATTTTTAAATTAAGAATTATTTTTTTTCGAAATGATATTTTTTTTAATGGGAGAATTCATAAACAGACTGGAATGAAAAAATGTACAACAACACTTTTTTCTAAAATCATAAAAGTTAATTTGAAAAATATTTTTCTGTTTTAAAATTAAAAAGTATTTTCTACAGTTAAAATTTATTTTTAGAAACAGTTTTTTTTAAAATTCTTTTTATTATTATTAATTATGTTATTAATTATTATTATAAACTGTCCTCTATCAAAAATTAAATAAATAATTAAAATTATAAATTCTTAAATTAAATGAAAAATAATTTAAATAAATTAAATAAAAAAAATAATTAAAAGAATTATTATTGTCTATTATTATTTCAATAACATTTTTTTATAATAATAAATTATAAGAACCGCAATAATTTAGATATTAATAATGATAGAAATAAAAATAAATAAATAATAAAATAGTTTTGAATTATTATTAAATAATTTTATTTATTTATAATCTAGTAAATTATAAATATACTTTTACTATAATTTATATATTATAAAAATAAAAAACGGGAAAAATAATAAAAATTGAAAAACTTACTTTGAGCATGAACTAATGACGTGCCAATTAGTGCAGCAAAAAGGACGAAAAGAATATAGAAAATCTTCATTTTCAAATAATTGATGATAGAATTAACTGTGTGCGAATTTGTAAGCTTTCTCTTTAGAAATGTATTAAAATATCGAGAAATCACGTTATATTATATTAAATTATCGAAGTAATTTCTCCTTCCTAGATGATAAAATAAGAGAAAATTGTTTTTTTTCTTTTTCATTTCATCTTATGAGCGATTACAATATTAATGGAGGGGAGAAATGTATAGAATTTGACCACGATCTAGAACCTCTGACCGCTCGGATCATTATTTTATATGGTCATTGGGGTCATTGCTGTATCAAATAAAGCGGATTATTAATTATCGTTGAATGAATTAATTAGTTTTGATTTCTATTTTTTACGGTCTTACATTACGTAATAATATCAATATAATGGTTTTACTTATTATTTGCATTATTATTTTCTTGCAGTATATGTGTAAAATCTGCAAACATTATTGTTTTTATTATTATTTATTTATTTATTTATTTATTCCCCACAAACAGGATAAAAACAGTATACATATTTAATATTTATTATGAAATATTCAAATTGAAATCAAAGTTAAAATGAAATTTTAACTAATTCAGATTTAGAGAGCAGGAAAAAATTTTAAAGAGCAAAAAAATTTCTTCAAATAAATAAAGTAGGTAATTTTTGAACGAAAAAAAAATATTGAGTCGAAAATTTTGCTTTTGAATAATTAGTTAATTATTTAATTTAATTTATTCAAATTATTGTTTCCTAATAAAGAAAGTACTGCGATTTTAGATGGAAAATTATTATTTAGAAAAGAATGGAAAGAATAGAAAAAAATTTCTTAAAAGTTAAGTCTCTATTTTAGTTGAACATATTTGTCAGCAATGAATTTTTCGGTTCTAAAGCTAATCTTGTAGATTGTTGACCATAAACTCCAGGGCCGGTCTCTTTTTTTTTTGCCAGCTCGACAGAATCACATTCATGCAAACATTATGTAAATTGGTGACCTAGTTATAACCTTTGAAGTCTTACTCGTCTTTTTTTTCCACTATTCTTTTCAAATATTGTCATGATAATATGTATTCAATAGAAAATTTATCAGTTTTCATATTGTTACCAATTTTATTTAAAAAAATTTTTTTTTACTTTGTTTCATTGTCATACACTTTGATCTCTCTTTATTTTATATTTCCAATAAAAAGACTCGCATGGATGTAATTTTGAACATTATTTTATTAAATAAATAAATAAAAAAAATTTTTAATTTTTAATAAATAAATAATATATTTAATAAGTAGAATTAAAATAAAAGTAAAATAGAATAAAAATATTTATTGTTTAGAATTTTCTTTTTCTTTTAATTTTTTCTTTTATTTTGAATTTTATTCAACAATTTCTTTTTTTTATTATAAATTTATGGACTTTATGGGTTAAAATATTCAACACTTTTACAAATACGCTTCTCATTTCCTTTCTTATGAATAATCCTGTTCAATGTTGAATGAGCTCCATTTTTCACTTTAATAAAAGTAAGATTGCTCTCTGACAATTTGATCCATGAGATTGTCAAATATTTTTTAGATTGAGTCATAGAAGTTGTGAATAAAAAATTTTTAAATACTTTTTCAATAATAATGTCAATAATTGTTAAAGAAAAAATTAAATATTTTTTAGGAAATTTTAAAGAATTTAATTTAATTATTAAAAAATAAAGTTAAATATTTTTTTAGGAATTTTCAATAATTTAATTTAATTATTAAAAAAATACCCCTTTGTTCGTTTATCAAGAGAAATATTTATATTAATTTTTATTGAAAACATATTATTAAATGAAACAAATGCAAAAA